AAAGAAAAGTCGACGTTCATTACAGGTGCAAAGTGGGACAGAAAACGCTCCACATGAAGCTTTTGGATTGCCTGAGATAGTACGGCTTCAGTCGCACTGGATCCTCTTCCCCGGTTTGTTCTCGTCATCAAATGATCTAAGCAACCTCAATCTGAGAACAAACAGCGGGAGACATCACAATTTTAAAGTTCCACTATACAATGTTTTGGCATGTCACATGAAAAAGGTATTTAGACCCACTGCCGGGGTGTTCCTGACTGGAAGATAAATGGTCTTCAAAATCCTAAAATCATGTAGTGCCATGAAACGGAGATCCCAGATTTGTACACGATGCATAAGTCAACGTGAGTAAGCTAGTGATGATATCATCCTGATAATCGGCAATGAGTTATTCTTTTTCCAGCAGTTTCATGGCTGAGGGTCACACTTTTCGCGTCATCATACAGATTCCCGTTGACCAAAAGACAAGCTGACAGGAAATTCATGATGTCAAACATGGAATACATATTATCAACATTTATTTCACCTTCTCAGTTTCTCTAACAGCAAGTAGCACTCCACGTGCGCCAAAACAAGTTGAAGTACTCAATCATCTAAATTACCTTATCATACCTTCCATTCTCTATGCTAACTTTCAAATGTAAACAATAAGCAGATGAACTGCTCGAGCAACAATAGCCGACTTCTATGGGTCCGGATGGAACATAATCATCAGCATTGGAATGCTACCGTCTTGAAAATGAATTATGCATTATGCATCATCATAAACCTAAACAACAAATTATAAAACAGATTTTTCCAACTTTTGAAGGTCTCGGGAGTCAGGAGAGCTCGTGACCATTGCTTGACACTGTGTCTGCCAGCGCAAGTAGAAGGCAGCGATGATGTAAATTTCTTCTTGAAAATAGTAAGTGTACGTCTATCATGCAACACTTCAAAAAGGGGTTTAAAAAATTTATTTCATATAATCTTTTTCACAATCTCACGCAATTCAAGTCCTCTGGTGCGTGTTGGAGTTGAGCGGCAGAGAACTCTACCAGTTCCAATATTCGCTCCTCTATCACAGGATCAGGACAATACGGGACTCGGCTTTTTGCCGAAGCAGTCTGCATTAGATCTTAAAAACTGATTACAAGAAACAATCAGATTCCAGATACTAACATGACCACTAGTGTACATCACTCGTCCAGGATTGATCGGATGGACCAACTCAGAAAGAGAATCAGCCTGAAAGAAGCAGCTTTCGGCACAAAATCCTCAATTGGACTATCATATGCATTGTGCAACCTTGACTGGATACCATTTGGGATTTTTAACGGAGGAACACACATAAACTAGGTCAAAATCCATATGGGTGTTCTTCCCCCGATAGAATAAAAAAATAGCCTATCACAACGTAGTCAGATGGAAGAAAGTTTGAATCAAAACAGCATCTCACATTAAGTCACGGAAAAGTGTCATAAAGCAATTTTGAGTAGAATATAAAAAGTGTGGTATCCCTTTCCTGGCAAAAAAATCACTGCTTTTGAGTACAACGATCATGAGATAGCACCAGACAAGAAGAACTCCTTAGCTCAAAACATGGAAAGTTACATCTAACAACAGACCTGTTCTTTGGTCATACATGGATGGCGGTCCAAGTCAACTACTTCTGGTGCACGATGTAGTTTTTCGCAGTAACCTTCCATCAAATGCACCCGCAAAACCGTAAAAAAGAATGAACCCGCCCCGCATAAAGAACAACGAAGTCGCATTTCTCGTATATGTGGTATTACATGTCGCCGTCGCTCCTATAAGAAATTAACTTTGCAGTCTACTCTGAAGAGAGGAATCTGAGTTGGAGCAGCAAAGCTACTAGAAAGATCGTAAGTCTTCGTCAAAGCGAGAAAAAGTGAGAAAAATTTTACTTCACAAATCGATGAGCATACCTTGTTTTCAAGAAATGCCATTATATTCTCCCGTACAGTACCTAAAACTTCAAATCAAAAAAGAGAAAAAGACCCTGCCCAGTCAACCAATACTGATATCATTAGTGCCAAATGTGAATAAGTTGAAAAATTCAACGTACCCTGCTCCATAGAGCCATCGTTCTTCTCCCATGTAGCCAATACCATCAGAGACGCTTTCTTGCGTGATCCCTATGCATTCCGTAAGGGATTTCGTTTCACCAAGCAACCTTTAAAAAGTACCATCATGGAATGATGCAAAATGTGACAGCCTTTACGGCTCAGTGAAGTATTAACAAGTATGAAAGTAA